AACAGCCAGGCTAACATTAATCCTAGTGATTCACCTGTATTTCCACCGTCAATCCTGTGAGGAATTAATGTGTTTTACAGCATGTCCATGGTCTTTCTAAGTATGTTGCATCATTTTAATTATCCTGCATTAAAATATTACATATATATTGTAATTTCTTATTTCATTTCAATCTGTTGGCTGTTTGTAATTGCAACAGTCTTTTTATATTGATTCAAGTGGTAGTATTATTACTCAGGACAAGTGTTATATTGCTATGCTAATGAAGACTGCTTGTCAAACTGCATAAATATGTGTTTTATTGCAGTAATTGAGATTACAAAACACAGCTGATGAAGTTGCAAAGGTGTTTTCAATGAAATCTGTGACAATAGGGCAATATAGTATATATATTATGGCATGCCGTTTAAGAAATTAATCTTTGAATATATTGAATGAATCTTTGAATATATTTAATGAATCTTTGAATGTATGGAATGAATCTTGACTGGTCATCAAGGCACTGCTGCCATCTTGTAGAAGTGAGAATGAGTCAGTCAGGAACCTTGTGGCAGCAATACTGATCAATGAGGACATTATTTACTCATTGGTAAGTGCTTGTATGGGCCAAAATCCTTCCCATAGTACCCGTGCCCAATACCGTTCTCCTGACGAAGAAGTTCACTTCCTTTTTAATGGTGGCAGGCCGACTACAACAGGCCTCAGGCTAAATCCTGACAGAAAAAGCAAAAAAGTTTTCCAGTTTAAGAAAGTATTGTAATATTTCAACTGATGCCATTTTGTAAAACCAGCTAATTCAGAAGGCTATCACTTTGATGAAAAGGATACAACTAGGTTTTGAATTTCATTCAGTATTCTCACATTTTTATTAGTATATCCAAGATTCATTCCATATATCCAAGATTCATTCCATATATTCAAAGCTTCATTTCCTAAACGGCATGCCATAATATATATATACACATATATATATATTATTCACACCCGTTCCCTCTTCATAATGGCTTGCCCTTTTTTGGAGGATGTACTGGATGAGGAAGCCCTAATCCTCAGACGAGCATTTAGTCATGAAAGAGTCTTCTGGGACAGGTCAGACCCATTGGCCGTTGGAGATGACTATCTCATTGAGAGATACAGATTCTCAGGTGATGGACTAAGATATTTATGTAGGCTGCTGGGTCCAAAAATACAGCACCAGACGGCAGGAAGCCATGCTCTCACTGTACCACAGATGGTCTGTGTTACATGGAGATGTTTTGCAAGTGGGAGCTTCCTTTATTCTGTTGGGGATGCAGAGAACCTCAATAAAGGAATCATTTTCCGTACATATCCTGGCTTGGTGGGCCGCCCCCTGTGCCAGATCTATGGGCTTTTTTTAACTGCTACAATCACACAGACATTCAACATGTCAGCAGACACCTAATCTATTCACCTCATTTGTTCACTGTTATCTACTTTATAGTCACTGACCAGCCTGCAAAATGTTCTTGTATTTAATTTTAACTTGCTGCCAGGTCCTTTTATGGCCAGACAAGGTTGTTCTTTATGAGTTGTTTGCACTGAATCATACTCTACATTTAAGTAACATGAACCTCTACTTGCCACATTTAAAGCAAAGTGTACAACAGTTGATTAGTGGACTTAAAGTAACTCCTTTAGTCCTTTAATTGGAGCCTAATTATGACAGTTCCAGTGGAGCACTGTTTATTAATTGTACAGTTTTGGACTACTTAAGCATTAAGCCGGTCCGCTATTGTCTGCCAGGCTTTCTCTCTTTCTTTAATTATGGCATTGGTATTGCCTTTTTTTCTTATATCTTTCACCTCCTTATAGAACTCCATCAGGAGCTGTTGTTCAGCGGCCGTGAAATATGAAGCGCGACTCTTATCCATGTTCCCATCGGTGATTCTGTGAGCGATCGCGAGGTCTATTTCAGTATGCCGTGAACACGCACTTATCCTGACTATCTACACCTGGCTTAACATAGCCACACCTTTTCATTCTGGCTCGGCAAACGTGCAACCGATTAAGCCAGGATGCGCCGAGCAGGTAGGTCAGGCCGCGCTTGCTCACTTATCCTGGATTTCTTTATCCTACTTTTGTGCAATACCCCACAGTTCTTTTGTCCAATCAGCGATGACTAATGTCGCCCGAGGGTACCTACCTTTTCCGGTTTGGTTAATGTCGTTGTGTTTTCTGATTTGCTGTTGTGTTTTCTCTTTTTGTGTTGTGTTTTCTGATTTGTCGTTGTGTTTTCTCTTTTTGTGTTGTGTTTTCTGATTTGTCGTTGTGTTTTCTGATTTGCCGTTGTGATTTGCACCTCAGGGCCACCGTACAAAAGTTATCTCAGGACACTTTTCAAATAGAGCAGGTCTAGACCGAACTCTTTATAACATTATTTACAGAGACCCAACAGTACCACCATGAGCAAGCACTTGGCAACAAGGGAAAGGAAAAACTGCCTGTTAAAAGGCAGAAACCTAGGACTGGTGGAGACAGACGACCACCCACCTAGAGGGTGGTCGTCTGTCTCGACCAGTTGGGGTGAGAGAGAGAGAGAGAGAGAGAGAGAGAGAGAGAGAGAGAGAGAGAGAGAGACAAACAGACAGATAGGTGCACAGCAACAACAGTATTGGCAATGGCAATCTAGCAGGACCATGGCAGGAGGCTCCACCAGGATCCATGAGAACCTGCGAGACGAGAAAGCACAAGAACTCCGGGGAAGAAGGGAAGTTAGTAACATGCAGTAATGGAACATGAATGAGTGCAGAAAGAGAGAGGAAGAGAGGAGCTCAGTGCACCATGGGAAATCCCCCGATAGTCTAGGCCTATAGCAGCATAACTAAGGGATGGTTCAGGACTCACCTGATCCAGCCCTAACTATAAGCTTTATCAAAGAGGAATGTCTTAAGCCTACTCTTGAATGTGGTGAGGGTGTCTGCCTCCAGAACCACAACTGGAAGCTGGTTCCACAGGAGAGGAGCTTGGTAACTGAAGGCTCTGGCTCCTGTTCTACTTTTAGAGACTATAGGAACCACAAGTAGCCCAGCATTCAGAGAACGTAGTGTTCTAGAGGGGTAATAGGGTACTATGAGCTCTTTAAGATATGAAGGGGCCTGACCATGAGGAGCTTTGTAGGTGAGGAGGAGAATTTTAAATTCTATTCTAAATTTTACAGGGAGCCAGTGCAGAGAAGCTAGTACAGGAGAGATGTGATCTCTTTTTCTAGTTCCTGTCAGTACTCGTGCTGCAGCGTTCTGAATTAATTGGAGCGTTTTAATGGACTTATTGGGGCAACCTGATAATAAAGAGTTGCAGTAATCCAGCCTAGAAGTAACAAATGCATGGATTAGTTTTTCTGCATCTGTCTGTGATAGTATGTGTCTAATTTCTGTAATATTACGTAAATGAAAGAAGGCAGTCCTAGAGGTCTGCTTCATGTGGGAATTAAATGACAAATCCTGATCAAAGATAACTCCAAGATTCCTGACAGTGGTGCTAGAGGCCAAGGTAATGCCATCTAGAGTAACTATATCTTTAGACAGTGAGTCTCTAAGATTTTTGGGGCCAAGTACAAGAATTTCGTTTTTTTTTCTGAGTTTAACATCAGAAAATTGCAGCTCATCCAGGATTTTATGTCCTTGTGTTATCTCAGGACATTGTTCATATAGAGTAGGTCTAGACTGTACTCCTTATAAAATTATTTACACATTCTAAAACCTAACTCAGTGGCCCTTTTATCACCAATTCAATTCAATTCAATTACATTTTATTTGTATAGCGCCAATTCATAGCAGAAGTTATCTCAGGACACTTTTCAAATAGAGCAGGTCTAGACTGAAATCCTTATAACATTATTAATTAAATGTATGATTGCAAGTTAAAAATTCTAATATATTGATTTAGATCGAACTTTTAAGTTGCAAAAAAATTTTTATGAGTTGTGTTGTATGTATGTGTAATGTTGATAATTACGTCAACTTAATATTGTGCATAATTTGAACTAACATTTCTGCGTTAATTGGTTCAAAACAAAAGTCAAGTTGTATTAACTTAATAAAATTAGCTTGATAACTTAATTTTTCTCCACCTTGAGTTCAGCATTTCAAGTCCCCTCCCCTACCCACATCACATGCCCTGGCAAATTCAGACAGTTAAGGACCTGTATACAAAGGACATTTTCTGAGGTATCATTTTATTTGCAAATTAATTCTTACAAGAATTTGGGCATATTCTCAATTGTGATTTGACCAGCAGTGGATTTGTGACTGAAGGTTAGGCTACATCTGTTAATACAGTTAATGGTATATGTTGTACTAATAAACATAGTTAAGGCTAATCATATTTAGCAGCGTAGTTTAGCCCTTCTAATATTAATAATTTAGCAGGGTACTTGACTGGCCCATCTTGCCTGATCTTTGTTTCCAAGTTGCCCCTTAGGAGACCGACTACTTGGAACAAAATTTTGAATTCTTCCGTTTCCATCTACAGATAAATAAAGAATTCCAGAGAAAATGGCCAGACTTGACCATTGCACATCAAAAATGATGGATGTAGTCTCATCAAGGACAGGAGCTACAGGAGTGACAACCAGACATAATGTATAAAAGACATGCTTCTTGAGGTATGGAAATTATTAGGCTAATCTTTGTTGGCAGTTACCAATTCAAATTATATTTGGTTAGTTACTTTCTTTTGATACTTTTTTCCTTTTTTGAATAGCCCAAAACAATTGAAGTACACAGAGACATAGCTATCCACTGCCTTGGAGAGAAGGAAGAGGACCGTTTTCAAGGAGTTTAGAGTAAGTAATTCAACATCTTGAAAGAAAATGAAATCCACATTGGGCAGTATAAATACACAGGGCAGAAACCTGCTCCTTGTCCATTAAAGATTTAAGTATATTACACTTCTGGCCACACCCCAATCTGTAATATCATAACAATGGTCTGTTCAGATAGGTGTTGACAGCAATGGCATGGGAAAACAATTTCAATGTATTAATAAATCAATGTATTTTTTCTTTTAATTTCCAATACAAGAGCACAGAAGCGTTTGAGGCAGGCCTCGATAGACAGCTGATGAGAACTGCCACCATCGGTGACCAGTACACCCCAGAATCTGACCATATGACCACCAAAATCCTGGAGGGAAAGGATATACTAAGGTGCTGGGCTTTGCTGACGGGAATCTGAGCTATTGGAACTTAAATGTACATTGATAGGGACAGTCTGCTGCTGTTTGTTACAGTTTTTGTAAAATTAATCTAAAACGTATAATGTGTAAAAAAGACTGCGGAAGATTGGTGGCCATGTATGGGAAAATTAAAATTTTTGTTTTTAATAATGTGTGTTCAAACACTCTTGAACTGCAATTCAAAATAAAAACAGTTAATTGCCAAGCAGTTTTGTTTAATTAATTAATTTCTTACAAACAAAATTTAAAAATGTGTGTCAACTTAAAAATGATTATTATAGTTATGAAATACATGACAATTAAAATGCCTTTTAGAAAATGTGGGGAAACTATTTGCAACAACTTAATTTTATGAGTAATCAACTTAAAAACTTGTGTTTATGCTACCAATTATTAAGTAGTATTAAAAAAGTATTAAAAAAACCTTTCATTGTAGAGGAAAAGCTAATTCACCTTACTTACTTACTTGTTGTCACAACTCAAAATGATAGATGGAAACTGTCAAACAGAAAAGACATTTGTTTTTAGAGTGCAGAGACCCAACAGTTCCCACCATGAGCAAGCACTTGGCAATGGCAGCCAGGAAGGCAGACCTACTCTATTTGAAGTTTATTACATAGATTCTGAGGCTGATTGCAGTCTTAGCTGGTTATTCATTGAACATGAATGCCTGTCATCATAGCTTCATAGACCTCCTCTTTCTTTAGCTGTTTCTCCCCTCAACATGAACTCCATCTCTGACAGACTTCAGTCATTTTAGAGTTCAATCTCTGTATACTGGTGACATTACACGTAGTGTAAAAGCGCTTTGAGTGGTTGGAGGACTAGAAAGGCGCTATACAAGCACAGGTCCATTAACCGTTTACTATTTACCATTGAAGCATCCCCATTATGCCTGCTGATAACATAACAATAAATCAAAAGAGCAGAAATAACAAGTTTGTGGCATTCATAGCCTTCAATCTAGCATTTGATTGATTCTGACAGGATGGACCTTGGCGTCATGCAGATTTATTAAAAATCATCCAGGACGTAGCATAACAAGTAAGCCTCTTCAATTCTTCTGACTTCTTTAAAGATGTCCACACTTTGTAACATTGTATTTAATTAAAATGTAGATATTAAAATGAGTAAACAAAGCTTTGTAAAGATCACTTGGATTGCAAGATACGTCCTGTTTCAAACTTGAGTATCGGGGCAGGAATGACCCACGCCTCAACCATTTTGTATGTTGTTTTCGAAAAGTCACAATGTCTCCAGTTTCCATAAAAAACACAGTGCTTTAGTGTCAGCAGGGACATCCTCAGACTAGTTACCAGTTCACACAGAGTTTTGAAATGGGACATTGTAGTCATTGAACTCAATAACACAAAATGGGAACTACCAGAACTCTTATAGCATCTGACCGTATAATCCCTTGGTCCCTTCATTACCATCCATCTACCAGATGCCCTGGACATTCTCTCCTTTCCCCATCACCTGACTGCTCCACCCATCTACTCACCTGCCGTCACCTATAATTTCTTGTCATGTCAGACCTGCAGCCCAATTTCCACTCCTACTCCGTCAGTTCGTCCTAGTTTCTTTGTTGTTTTCTAGCTTTGTGTGTTTGTGTTCGAATGTCTGTTATTTTTATTGTTACCTGGACCTGTGATTACCTACCTCCTGTCTACCTATCAGATGTTTGTAAACTTTTCTTCTTCTGAAGTCATCCTGCTTCCTCATCTGTCTGTGTTTGGGTCCTATCCCTGATGCCCTGCATAACCAGCTGTGATAGTATACAGTAGAGTGGGAGTGCTTATTTAGAACACTGCATGAATTTTCATTTGCCAATATTTTTAAGTCAAACTACTTTATGAATCTCCACAAGCTATTGTATTGACTGACTGATTGTAATCTCTGCAATCTAAAAGGTAAAAGTACCAACAGGGTTGTCTCTTGTCGCCTTTACTTTCTGCTTTGGTCATAGAGCCTCTGGCAGAAGCTAAAAGAGCAAGTTACCACCTAAGGGGTATTCAAACAAGTACCAGAACACATAAAATTTCCTAATATGCAGATGACATACTTATGTTTATGAGTAATCAGTTAAAATATGCATTTCTTGCCGTTCATTTATGTCTTTTAACAATAGGCGCCTTTTTTTTTTTTTTTTCCCAATAGTTGAGTGTGATGGGTATGCAATAGGTTTTCTTCATTTTTGTACATATGTACATACTGGAAACATGCAAGGATGAAATCAACAGACTTTACACATTTACCCATTGTTTCTAAACAATCACATACAATTACTTATTTCATGCAGAATAAAGGTCTAGTGTATAGCATGTAGTGGCATATAGGGGTGTAGCTGCAGATCAAAACTCCCTTGCTTTACCCTCCTATTTCCAATTCCCTATCTGAGCCAGTGTTTGGTTTGTTCGTTCTGGGCTACTGTAGAAACATATCAATTAATGCATATTACATTCCATTTCTGCAAAGAGATCCTCCTAAGTGTTATACACTGGACCTCTAACAGAGGCCTGAGGGAAAGTTTTTACGACGCAATAGATGATTAGAACGGACATCCTGGGCACCCCATCCTTCATTATCTTTTTAAGTAAGATCTTAAAAATGGTTTTCCTTTGGGATCAGTTGAATCTGTGCTGTAGTCTTAATGCAAGGCTTCTCATGAAACAAATGTTTTCTGTATCATAAAAGAACATTCATCTAGGCAATTTTTGTGACACAAAGACCTGACAAACTGTCTTTACTGTTGTCCATTCGTCTTGTACTGTGAGGTGTTGCTATAAAGCTGATCTGGGGAGATATTAATCCTCCTCACATTCAGCTCTGCAGCGAATCCTCTTGCCTTCTGGTAAAAGAAGAGAGAGAGCTCCCGGTCTATTAGGAAGTTGTGGTAGATGGTGGCGAGGCGGGTGCACAGCTGCAGCTGAGACCTCTTGTTGCCCAGATCCATGGCTGCAGCAAGAGCCAGGTGGTAGTAGCCTGCAGCGTCAAATGGGTCCTATAGAGATAACAACAAAATTAATTTATATTTAGTTATATAATAGAAGTAACTTTACAGGTGAAGGTATATCAGTGATCCTGCTAATATTGTTAAAGGTGCCTTGTGAAGTTTTTGACCACTAGTTTTTACAAGAGTAACTCCCCACATGCACTCACATGAGCACATGGGAGACTTGAGTTATCAATCTGATATAAACACTTTGATTGACTCTGATGTATAATGACTTGTTTGGGAGTTGAAACACTCTAAGTTCAGGACTTGACCTTGGCTTGGGACTTGTTGGTCCTTACTTGCAACTTGATGGTTTTGACTCGGGACATGACTAGGGACATAACAGCCAGACTCTTAAACCTATACATCACTTCTGACTTACAAAACAATGATGTCCCCCCTTTGGCAACTTTTATGCAAATTACCTGAGTCTTATTTTGTGATTCATGATACAGGTTTGTTGTACCCTATGCAAACAGGAATTTGTGGCACATTTTGGTGATTTTTGTGGCTGTCGGCAAAGAGTTATTTCCACCATTCCAAGGTTGAGATAACAAATTGTTTTCTTGCCTAAGGAAACAATAATATATCTCAAGATAACAAAATAATTAACTTGATCTCCAGATAACAGGATAAAAAACTGAAGTACCTCTTTGCACCCAGGAGAGAATATTCACATGGAAGCTATTGGGCTATTTACACCCAACCCCCTAGTTTAGCAACCCTCTAGAAGGGCGACAAAGTCTGTGTAGGGTGGAGGCCGGGGTGGATTAATGGAGACCTGGGGTTGAGTCGTGTAAAACAGCATTCCGTTTTCAGTTGCAGTTTGGTAAGGTTTTGGCACCAAAACTATCCTACTTGGTTACGTTTAGGAAAAGATCATGGTTTGTCTCTGCCACATTGGTCATTAGTCCACAATTCAAATAGCATGATCAGGAACCATGGCTTGTGGAAATAAGCTACAACATCAAACAGAATTATAAAAACCAAGTCAAAATTAAAGCTGCAAGCAGCGTTGGGCGGGACCTCGCACTCCACGCAACTTGGGGCGTGGTGCGGCCGCGTCACGTGCCGTCATAACATGTGCAGACCACAACATGAAATTTTCACGTCACCCCACTCCCAAGCCCTCACCTCCAGAAGCTGACGGAGACCACTCTACGGTGTCACACGTTTCAGACACAGCAAAAGACTTGAACTTTCATAGAGAGACCCTTCACTGAGAAAGGTGGAGATGCAGCGCCATGCCACGGACACACTGTCCTGTCAAGTTTTGAAGCAGATCTGATAAATTCTCTAGGAGTTCGTTAGTTCAAATACAAGACGACGGGCTTCAAAATGGCCAACTTTGACGGCACGCCACGGACACGCCCTTCAACGTACAGTCACAAAATGAACAGTGTTCATTCAGCACCATTTTTTGACTGTACTGACCAATTTTGAAGCAGATCCCAGAAATTCCCTAGGACGAGTTCGTTCAAATACAAGGCGAAAATTCATCGAAAATGACCACAGAATTCAAAACGGCCAACTTTGACGGCATGCCACGGACATGCCCTTCAATGTACAGTCATAAATAGCACAACTTGTAATCAGCAACATTATTCAAGAGTACTGTCCAGTTTTGAAGCAGATCTGATAAATTCCCTAGGAGTTTGTTTGTTCAAACACAAGACCACAGACTTCAAAATGGCCAACTTTGACGGCACGCCACGGACACGCCCCTCAATGTACAGTAAAAAAATGAAGAGCGTTCATTCAGCAACATTTTTTGACTGTACTGACTCATTTTGAAGTAGATCTGATAAAACCTGTAGGAGGAGTTAGTTAAAATAGAAGCCCTGAAATGCCAAAATGACCACAAAATGGTGAAAATTCAAATCAAAATTGCAGACTTCCTGTGGGTTTTGGGGCATGGGTCCAAGAGGCTTTTTTGTACGTCTCGGCACCTCACACATGCCTACCGAGTTTCATACATATCAGTGAAACGTGGCGCTGTGGCTGCTTTTTAAAAAATCCTGTAGGGGGCGCTACAAACACGACAAACACGATTTTTGGTATGTGAGCTACAGGCACCAGTCTACACGTGTCCTGTGAATTTCATATTCATAACTATTACGGTCTCTGCAGAGTGATTTACCCTGCAACCAGAGCGCCACCTAGTGGCGTGATTTTTTTTCCTTTTTAGGTGAGCCTCAGGGAGCCATGGGCAAGCATCTACCAAGTTTCATTTTAATCACACTTGTCGATGCAGACCTAAAAATTGTGCACGATACATAATGAAGACATAAGGAACTATTGACCCAAGGTTGGTGTAAATCGGACATACCAATGTGGAGAAATACCCCACTTCCTTTTTTGATGGAATATAAACAGGAAGTGCTAATTTTATAACTCCCTTATTTTTTTAAATATCAAAATACTTTAAATTACTTTTTTTGCCAGGACGGTCTCCAGATGCTACGTGCAAAATTTCGTGCGAATTGGACAAAAGCGTATGGATGGATCACAAAAACGTAGTTTTTGGACATTTGCGCTCTAAAATTCACGTGAAGTATACGTTCAGGGGGTCAAAAACGCTGTCAACGTTCTGAATAATAATAAGAAACGGACCAATTTCAATAGGGACCTTCCAGCGGTCGCTGGCTGGGTCCCTAATAACAAAGGAGAACACTCATATATTGGCAACGATACACAATTTGATGTAAAGAAGCTCAAGAAACACTATTATCAACCGATATTATGAGATATTTGTGGCTTTATTTCACATAACAATGTAGGCACTCCCTATGGATATCTAAATGTATCTGTGGTTGTCAAATTGTTCCAAGTGCAGATTCATATGATTTCAGTGATTTGAAAAACACCTAATATTCAATCACTTACCTTCATGTCATAGAATATGATGTCCCCGAGTGTCTGGTACACCCTGACATAGTACAGTGTTTCCTCATCAAACAGCAGAGGTGTTGGACAGAGGGTCAGGGTTTTCAGGTAATAATGTTCGGCCAGTTCATACTGGTCCAGACAGTGGTACAGAGAGGCCAGACGGTGGTAAGCCACTCGCTCATTCAGATGGTCACCTGTGTGTACAACCAGAGGTGGACAGAAGTACTCAGTTATAGACTTCAAACTGTTAGGATGTAAGTTCATGACATTTAGAAATATTTTTTGCTATGATTGTGTCAGGACCTATGGGTGGTGATGGTGTTATCAGTTATCAGTTCACATGTGTACCACTTTGGTTCAGAGCAACATACCAACAACTACTGGCAAGTAACATATTTTTAGGTGGACAATCGATAGTCATCCTACTTCAGATATTTGTCCCTCTCCTAGCATAAGAAGACAGCAGCATTGGCTGCAGTTAATTTTTATAAATTTATACATTTCAGTTACTCTCACTACTTGAAGCTGCAATAGGTAACTTTTACAAGAGCCAAAGCCAAGAATGATAGAGTCTCATTACCAGGACGTCAAATACTGATGCTGGGAATGAGACTCAACAATCAACTATCTTCAAGCCACAAACCCAAAGGGTCTTTCTATCTTTCTTAGCTCTGATTGGTTGTTTTTCGTTCAGGCTTGGTCGTTTCTTGCAAATTTGATTAGTTGCACTAGGAGGAGAACCAGATTTTTTCACAGATTACAAATTGTCTCATGTTCTGTCAGGACATAGTGAAAGTTTAAGCAAATATGACAAAAAGTTATTTTTTATAAAAATGACCTACTGCAGCTGTAATAGCATGCAATTAGTGATGGCAATATAAAAGCTCAGCTGATATGTACCATGCGTCATTCATTAATAGTTGTAAGTAGGTCTTTATACAGATAGTCAGTGTAGTACTGAAAATTCTAAACTTTGTGTTCTCCATACCTAGAGTGATACTGATGTCCAGTGCAGTCTGAGCAAACTCCACAGCATCCCCATACAGCTTGAGACTGAGCATCAGTTCAGTCAGCTTGTTACACAACCTCAGCCTGGAACGAACACTGTTGCTCTTCCCTGCAATGGGCAGAGCGCGGTCCTACAAGTACAAAAAATACACAAACATACACTGGACATTATAATCATAATAATAATGATGACTCAAAGTGGCCCTTATTTTCTTATTTTTGGCAACCATTCCTAACAATTATATGCCCAGGAATGAAGACATAAAGCTGCTTAATGACTGACAATCCAGGTAGTAGGGAATTACAGTTGCAAGAAAAAGCATCTGAATCCTTTGGAATTACCTGGATTTCTGCATAAATTGGTCATAAAATGTGTTCTGATCTTCATTTAAGTCACAACAATAGACAAACACAGTCTGCTTAAACTAATACCACACAAACAATCTGTTTTCATGTTTTTATTGAACACACCATGTAAACATTCACAGTGCAGGGTGGAAAAAGTATGTGAACCCCTAGGCTAATGACTTCTCCAAGAGCTAATTAGAGTCAGGAGTCAGCCAACCTGGAGTCCAATCAATGAAACGAGATTGGAGGTGTTGGTTAAAAAAAAAAACACACACACACCAGTTTTGAGTTTACTATTCTCAAGAAGCATGGCCTGATGTGAACCATGCCTCGCACAAAAGAGCTCTCAGAAGACCTACGATTAATAATTGTTGACTTGCATAAAGCTGGAAAGGGTTACAAAAGTATAGTTCATCAGTCCACGGTAAGACAAATTGTCTATAAATGGAGAAATTGCCGCAATGTTGCTACTCTCCCTAGGAGTGGCTGTCCTGTACAGATGACTGCAAGAGCACAGCGCAGAATGCTCAATGAAGTAAAGAAGAATTCCAGAGTGTCAGCTAAAGACTTACAAAAATCTCAGGCACATGCTAACATCTCTTTTTTATAAGGAGTACGGTCTAGACCTACGTTTGAAGTTTGCAAAAGAGCACCCTGATGTTCCACAGCACTACTGGCAAAATATTCTATGGACAGATGAAACCAAAGTTGAGTTGTTTGGAAGGAACACACAACACGGAGAAAAAAAGGCAGGCACACCAACATCAAAACCTCATTCCAACTGTGAAGTATGATGGAAGGGGCATCATGGTTTGGGGCTGCTTTTCTGCCTCAGGGCCTCAGATTGCTATCATCAACGGAAAAATTAATTCCCAAGTTTATCAAGACATTTTGCAGGAGAATTCCAATTAGCTCTTGGAGAAGTCATTGGCCTAGGGGTTCACATACTTTGTCCACCCTGCACTGTAAATGTTTACATGGTGTTTTCAATGAAAACATAAAATTGTTTGTGTAGTATTAGTTTAAGCAGACTGTGTTTGTCTATTGTTGTGACTTAGATGAAGATCAGAAGACCAATTTATACAGAAATCCAGGTAATTCCAAAGGGTTCACATACTTTTTTTGCAACTGTATAGCAGAAGACAGACAGTAGGAAGTGTAATGAGAGATATTTTTTAATATTTGCTTGGACTGACTGTACCCTGTAGAAAGTGATGGCCTTGTCCCGGTCCTGGCTGCTGTTGAAGAAAATGTCTCCTGCAGCTTCCAGAAGCTTCAGGATAAACCTGGTGTCTCCTGTACTCAGAGCCACATCCTGAGCTACCTGACAATGACACCAACACACACACAAGCTTTCATTTAAACCTTTTAATCTGAGTTTTAGTTTACAAAACTGAACAGTCCTATGGCCAAAAAATGGCACCTGCAAATTTTTCGAATTAAAAGCCTACCAGAAAAAGTGTATGATTATGCCCTTTGAGCTGCTATTAGACTTTTAAAAATCAGTGCGAGAAGCGCTGGGTTTTATTGAAGGTAGTGGTCGGAAAAACAGTAAAGAGGAAGCAACGGAATAATTTGTGAATGTAAACAATATTCTTTTGGGGAGAGTTTTTACTTCTACATCTGAATGGAGGGGACCAAGGGTAGAGGGTGTTCTATACTGTACAGAATGTAAAGCCTTTGAGGAAAATGTTTGATATTGATCTATATAAATAAAATTGACTTGAATTTTTGTAAAAAAAAAAAAGATGAGAGCAACAGAGGGGTGAACACTGAGGGCTTCTGCTCAGTTACTCGCAATGATGTCCCAGCTGGTAGGGCTGTGTATTGTTAAGAATACATATTTCACCTCATTTATTGCGATGCCATGAGCAAGGCTGTATCTTACAATTCTTTTCAATCTAATTCTGATAAGGAACACACCACCATATGAATAAAAAAATTAATTGGCTACTTAATCTTTTCTCACCAAGCAGAACTATGCTCTTAAAACAATTTATTATTTATTACATTCTTTCTTTGCCATTCAATTTATGTTGTATAACTTCAAGTAATATCAAAATGCTAACCTTAACCCTAACCCCTGATCCTATACCCCTAACCCAACCACACCTGTATACCCCTAACACTAAACTGGCACCAGCAAGCAAGTGGGTTTTTACTAAGATTGCTGACTCTGAATTAAGCTTTGTGGCACCCTCCGTCAATTAACAAGCCACCACTGGTGATAACATGATTTTGTTGTACTGTTAGAGTTAGTGCTGTGGAAATACATACAACACATTATACTGTATTATTACTATCAAGACATCTGGTAGCATTTGAGTTTAAATTAAACATGGAGCAGGGGAATTAAAAATACAGGCCAGACTTAACCTAAATCAGAGCTGAGTTTAGATTGTGCTGCAACTGACAGACATGAAATCGTTGTCCACAGCTGCTCTCAGACCTGAACATAAAGGTCGACCAGTTCAGTCTGCTCCAGCAGGTGGTAGATCTTCCCGGCTTGCAGCCAACCATAGGCCTCCTTTTCCCTGTAGCCCAGGTCGATGAAAATACCCAAACTGCTCTTGGTGTTGTCGAGAGCCGCCCGGTATGCCCTGAAAACATTGAAAGACTTTAGCCCTGTTGATCCAAACTCTAAAATCAAACTAATCATTAGATATTGACATTGACCTATTCTAGCCACACACACACACACACACACACACACACACACACCTTTCTGTGCCCAAAGAGAGGTAGAGCTGGCCGATGGCCTCCAGTGCTTCTCCCTCCTGTCCTCTGTTTCCTGTGCGTCTCAGCAGTTCTAACTGGTGCTGGCTATAGATGATACACTGGGCCTGGTCTGGACTCTCACACCCATACAGATGGCACAGGTGTTTGGTTGCAGTGAGCTGACCTGGCAAATTAATTATTGTCCGGTCCAGTATATTGAAAAGAGAAAACGTAAAAAGACGCACACAAAACAAAACAAATATTATTCCACTGGGCACGGTGCAGTTTGGCTCCATGATGTGCCCAAATCCCACCGAGAGCATTTCAGAATGAATAGCATTGTTGCAAAGGGCGCAATCAGCTCCGGTGACCATGGAGGAGCAGGAACATGTCGTGGCCATGCCCAGTGGAATTTGGGGGTAAGGGTGTGATTTGCATACTTACAGTCTAACAGGCTGGCATTCATAGCCAGCAGCAGAGCCCATTCGTAGCAACCTTTCCCATACTCCAGCTGGTGCTGCTTCACATAGTGCTGTCCCAGCTCCAGCAGCACTGTGATGAAGTTCGCCTCATGACCTACTTCATGAAGCTCGGAGAAGAGCTGCACAGCCTCAGTCAGGTGTCTCTGTGCTAGTCTTTTAGCTCCAGCCTTCAGACATAACAGTCCTTTATAAAGATGAAGAAGCACAGAGTCAGCTCACAGTCCACTGGAAGAAACGTCTGAGAAGAAGCAGACGCTGTCTTACCTAGGTTAGCCTGAGCAACAGCCCAGTTTGGCATGTCCTCATACTCTTGGCAGATGTCGACGGCAGCCTGGTAGCTCTCTGCTGCCCTCCGGAGGTCACCCATGCATCGAAGTGCCACACCACGCATGTTGAGGACCACACCTTTGCATTAAATGAAACACATTTAGGTATGATGATGTTAAATCTCACACTGCATATTGTTCTTCAATCAGTCATATGTTTACATCTTTAAAACGTTGGCCAATTTATTTAGTTCAAAGTTAGGGATGATCGATATTGGCTGTTCTGCCGATATCTGAAATTCCGATATTGTCCAACTCTCAATATCCGATACCGATATCACCCGATACCGATATAGGCAGGCTTTTTACACCAAAACTGTTAGGTAACAACATAACATATCTCTTATTGTGGAATTAACACATTATGCCTCATTTTATTGTGATGCCCCACTGGATGCATACATAAATGCAACATGGCTTTCCAAATGTAAACACTGTCTGTGCAAAATAAGAGAACAACTTGAACTTTCATTGTATTAATACTGAAAAGAGCGCTAACGCTAATCGCTAGCTACGCGCTACTCGCTAGCTACACGCTAATCGCTAGCTACACGCTAATTGCTAGCTAAGTGCTAGCTTTGGTTAATGTGTTTAATCAGAGAATGTCTAATAAGGAGAGAAGTTCCACTCTCTGTCTACTTCCGGGTTCTGAACTGTTGCAGTTCCCCTCTGGCTCCATATGAGGGCGCTCACAGGATGAGTGCAGAATGAATGGAGCTCTATGGGGCTATACCCCTCAAAATCCACTTTTCTCAGGATATAACTTTTTGTCTAGTAATTTAAATGTTGCATTTGAAAGGGGATGCAAAGAAATTACACATTGCTGGGTGTTAGATTTTTTAGAGTCACTTATTTGCTTTAAAAAGTCTTTTAAAATGTCAATGACGTCATACACATTGTACGGCCAGAGATACTGCTTTACGGCAAGTCTCGAGTCACTTTGTGCTTCCGCGCTCTGCACTTCCTTTTCTCTCGAGGCATCGACAACACAGACATAACGATAGGCAGATAAAAGTACCAGCAACCCCAAAAAAAGTTGCTGTGTTAAAAAAAAAAGAACTTGGGCGAAAAAATCCGCCTTAACATTCTGGTCCCGCTTCGGATGCCACGATGCCGTCAAGCGGGATCTCTGGTCGTAATCAGTCCTTCACTGACCAATCAGTGTTCATTAGCAGAATGCTAGCGTGTTATGGACAACAACAACTCAACCTGTAAGAAATCGAAAGGACATAAGTACTCTTTCATTCAACTTTCAGCCTATAACCCATGTTGAACTTGCAAAAACTACAATCAAATCTGAGATTTCTCAACGACAATCAGGTGAAAGAGACAAATTTAGCCGTCTAGCTCAATCTGCTCCCATTTATTCTGCACTCATGGGCGATCGCCCCCAGTGGAACTCTGGTGGAACTGCAACCAAAATTCGGTACAATGGGACTTAATAGAGAGTGGACAGGCTCTCCGTAGACGGGCTCTGGTTTAATTGTATTATGCACCTGAAGGAGTGCTAATGTAAATTCTAAGCTAATTGTTAGTTTGGTTAAGGAACAGCTCATAGCAGGGTAAAATATTTAAGGTGCATTGCACTTATTTTGTGTTAATATTAAAATCATTCAGCTTTAAATTGTTTGCTTGTTAGCCACGGTTAGCAACCAACCAGTCTAGCGTGTAGTTCTTGTTGTTATACGTCATCTAGCGCATGCCGGTAAACGTCCCATGCTGTGTTCATGCAGGCTTGGAAATGCTGAAGCCTACAGAACAAACATCGGTTATAAAAACCTGATACCGATAATTCCCAATACTCCATTCAGGAGTAGAACCAATATTACGGAGGGCCGATATTATTGGACATCCCTATTCAAAGTGCAACACCTGTATACCTCTAACCCTAACCTTGGCACCAGTGAAGTGGAACTTCAATAATTCCTGGCTCTAGGGGTACTTTTATCAATCTTTAGATTAGCTTAGTTAGATTAGCTATTTAGTTCGCTAACTAGCGTTAGCGAACAGGAGGAACAAAGCTAATGTATTTGAACATATAAAATACAGTTGCTTAGCAAAGGACCAGTGTGTAGGATTTAGTGGCATTTAGTGGTGAAGTTCTAGATTGCAAACAACTGAATACTGCTCGCCTTCCAGAAAAACTACGGTGGCCATGAAAAACTGTTCTACAGCCAGTATTTAGTTGGTCTGTTCTGGGCTACTGTAGGAACATGGTGGTTCAACATTGGGGACTGCGTATTTCTTGTTGTGTTACATGTCGTGTTTCCATCATCACATTCCTTCAGATGTAGAGGAAATGCAACCAAGAATGCCCATATTGGACATGTCTTGTTTCTGACTTCACCTCCCGTAGCTCCTTAGTTCCTGGAAAGTAATAACTTGAACCAAGGCCACTAAGACACTCTGTAACTGTTTTTTTAATACACATTAGGCCAAAGAAACCCACAGACCTTCCTGGGGGGTAGTGCAGTGTTCTGGCATGGATGCTAGGACTAAGTCCAGGATATCCAAAGCAACATCTGGCTGATGGTTGTCAATGTGAAGCCATGCCAGCCAGATAAGGGAACTGTTTCTTTCTGTGACAGATCTGAAGAGTTGCAGTGAAGGTGGATTGTTGTTGATGAGGTTATGCATATGGTAGATAGCTTGTCCAACCATTCTGTGTTTGCAAAAGAGTTGACAGAGACAAACGGTAAGCTGATGGCTCAAAATATGATACTGGTCACTTCCTCCTCCTTGGAATTTGGTAGAAGAGAGGGCTTGGTGTAAATATGGAGCCACTTGAGGTGGGATGAAGGCTTCCTGTTCTGTGATCCCATACAGTCTGTTGACATTGTCCAAAGCTAGAACCATGCTACTAAGACAGTCAACCAGTGTAGCAGAAGACTGCAGAGAAGCTCTCCTGGCCGAACTGACACTGAGGTGGGGAAGTTGGAGTTCGCTGTAGAGCCTTCCCAGGGTCACGTATCCATGACTGGGAGAGATGCTCCATGTTCCTTGATCTTCATCACAAAGAACAAGTAGTCTCTCAAGATAAGGAACAACTCGAACCCCCTCAGTATGAGTCCAGTGGTGCTTTGCCAACAGGTAACAAGCCCGAGCCTCTGCCATTTTGTTGTGAGAGAGGACAGCTTTCTTGAGGATATATCTAAGGGCAGAGTTGTCCTCTAAGCTTTCTAGGCAGTCTGGGATTCCCAATAGCAAGGCAACAAGTCGCTCTGTCACAGCAAAGAAACGTTCAGTGTTTTTCTGCAAAAGATATACGGCAGCCAGGTTGGAATAGATGCTGCCCAACAGCCTGAGATCCGTGAAGTCTTCTCGTGGCACACTGAGTGCTTCCTCAAAGTAAACCCGGGCCTGGCTGAATTTTGACCTCCCGGCACAGAGCTTACCCAACAGAAAGCACAAACGAGTCTGTGACCAAAAGAGTCGCTTCTTTCTAGCTGTTTCTCTAGCAACACCCAGGAAGGCAATCAGCTCATCTTCTTCAGAGTGACCAGCGAAGGTAGAGGAGGCAAGGAGCTCAGAACTTAGTCCATACAGGACGCCAAACTCTACTTTGTAGTTTTGTCCCTCCAAAAAAGAGAAGAGGGGAATGAAGTTCTCACAGTTGTTTCCTTCTACAACTGGGTGAACTGTAAAGCAGGGAGGGCTTGGGTTTTTTGCCTCTGTAGCCAGGGCCGAGTACTCTAGAGTCCCGTTCATGGTCACAACGGAATCTGAGTCTTTTGATTGATCAAGAATCCTCTGAAGACTTCTTTTCAGGTCAGGCAGCTGTGTATCGACTTTGCTTGAAGAGCAGACTGCAGAAGAATATTGGGTGGGAAAAAAATTATGTTTGAATACAGAGGAAACATGATACTTTCATAAAATCAAAAACATGTGCATGACATTTGGGTAGCAAAACTTACGTGATGTTTTCTTTTCAGAGTTGTAACTGATCATATCTGATTGAACAACAAAAAGTACAAGAAAGTGAATGAGAGAACACCCTTAAACCTTGATAAGTAAAAAATGTTATTCATAAATCAGGAATGGTCCAACACGCTGGTGAATCTGGTGATATGATACATATCAGGATATAGGGGCTATGATTAAATGCTCACAGTATTAGTAAGTATTGTACAGTATTGCAATATATATATTTCGATATATTGCAATACTGGGAGCAAGGAATTATTTGTTATATCAGAAGTTGTAATATGATCCAAAAGGTCCTGTTTGATTTTTGACATTCAGGAGTAGAACCAGAGAATTACAAGTTAATCTACTTGGAATGTGTGCTTGCGCATATTTAACTGAACAGTCCAGTGCTTTGCCAGATGATGTTCCATTTGTTGCAGCAAACATCATCATTTGTGGTTCGGGAGGCAGACACCCTCACCACATTCAAGAGTAGGCTTAAGACATTCCTCTTTGATAAAGCTTATAGTTACGGCTGGATCAGGTGAGTCCTGAACCATCCCTTAGTTATGCTGCTATAGGCCTAGACTATCGGGGGATTTCCCATGGTGCACTGAGCTCCTCCCTTCCTCTCTCTTTCTGCACTCATTCATGTCCCATTAATGCATGTTACTAACTTCACTTCTTCCCCGGAGTTCTTGTGCTTTCTCGTCTCGCAGGTTCTTGTCGATCCTGGTGGAGCCTCCTGCCATGGTCCTGCTAGATTGCCATTGCCAATACTGTTGTTGCTGTGCACCTATCTGTCTGTTTGTCTCTCTCTCTGTCTCTCTCTCTCTCTCTCACCCCAACTGGTCGAGACAGACGACCACCCACCTAGAGCCGGAGGATCTGTCCTAGGTTTCTGCCTTTTAACAGGCAGTTTTTCCTTGCCCTTGTCTCCAAGTGCTTGCTCATGGTGGTACTGTTGGGTCTCTGTAATTAATGTTTTAAAGAGTTCGGTCTAGACCTGCTCTATTTGAAAAGTGTCCTGAGATAACTTCTGTTATGAATTGGCGCTATACAAATAAAATTGAATTGAATTGAATCTTCTCAACAACTACTGAACTGATTGTGATGAAATTTGACACAGATATCCATAATGCCATTTGATTGATCCTAGTGGTTTTCTGTAATGTACTGACTCTTCATCTAGTGCCACCAACAGGTTTTCACTTATTCAGTTTAATATGTCAACAACTACTAGATGGATCGATGAAATGTGTGATGTGTGGTCTCCACAGGCAGTAGATATACTTTGATGTTTTTCCCAAAATACAACCTTTAACTACATTAGACATTTACCTTACATAATACAGACAGAAAAAATGGAGATGGAAAATCTATATAAATCAGTGTGACTTGTGAGTCCTTTCACTTACCCAGTTTGTAGTTATGACCAGTATCATTCTGAGATTTCTTCTTCAATAAGGCAGTAGTTTCCTCTATGACTTTGTCCTCTCGCAGACTGAAGAAATTCCCTTCCTCTCCATCCAAAAAAATATCTTCTGATCTGGAAGAGTAGAACAAGATGCAGTATCTTCATACTCTACTGTAGAATAATTGAATGCCCGTTTTGTTAAAATGGCTAACAGTATTAATGGTGATACACTCACTCATAAATGTCACTAGATGGTTTCACCAAGCTTGTCTTGACCAGGCCTACTTCTCCTGTCGACTCCTTCCTCCCTGTGAACCAATCAAAACAAGACACCAGAAGTCCCACGATGATGATGCGATCAGCGGGTGCAACACTGAGCTCATCTGGGCCCTGTGCATCATACTCCATTGTGGCCAGACAGGTTCCTCTCGCTGAACACAGGACAGGTATCATACAAGTTTCAGTAGGGTTTATGATCTTAAGTACAATATTAAAATAAATGAAAAGTGGTGTTACTTACAACCCATACCTTTTTTTTTCCCATTGTGTCATATTTTCTCTCTTTTATATGTACACTATCCTAAATATAGTTTACTGCACTTACCAAACTGCAGAGGGAAGTCACAGGCAGGTTTCCCATCACCAACTAAAATGCTCTCTGCACCGATTTTGAGAAACCATCTGTGGACAGATGGGATCATGTGACTACAAAACATGACACATCATATCTCCTACTGTATGTCCTAAGCCCTGCATGTGAACTTACTGATGAAAAGGGATGACGGGCTCGAGAGCAGGTTTGGGTGCAGTGCCTCGAGCTCCATCCGCCAGGCAGAGGACGGTCCACCCAGAGCCCAGGAAGGGAGGCTCAAACTGGGCTATGTCTCCCTGCTCCAGGTACAGGTCACCTCCAGATGTGGAGCTGTCAAACATCTGGTTGGTACTGCAACTAGCAAACAATGAACCTGAGGACACAGAGACACTTCATTACTATTATATGTTTTTATTTTAACTAGTGCTGTCAGTTAAACGTGTTATTAACAGCGTTAACGCAAACCCATTTTAATGGCGTCAACTTTTTTATTGCGAGATTAACATTCTTTTTGGCCTAGCACACCTTGTAGTTTTTTTCACATTCTGTTGCAACAACTAGTAACGTTAGAAAAACTACAACACCACACCGGATCTAGCTAGACCGGAAACAAAACAACAGGCACGCCGCACACACTTGTTTAGGAGTAGTAGACGTTACGTTTTGAGTGGATGGCGAGCGCGAGACGCCGAAATGGATACCAATAATATTCTGAATGGAAAGTTTACTTTTAAAAAGTTGCCAAATGGTTCCATTGACAAGACCAAAGTGATCTGTGTGTTTTGTCGTTGTGAACTGAGCTATCATCGCAGCACGTCCAGTCTGAAATACTTGTGTCAGTACTCGTGCTGCAGCGCTCTGAATTAATTGGAGTGTTTTAATGGACTTATTGTTAGACACATCCTGTCACAGACAGATGCAGAAAAACTAATCCATGCATTTGTTACTTCTAGGCTGGATTACTGCAACTCTTTATTATCAGGCTGCCCCAGTAAGTCCATTAAGACGCTCCATTTAATTCAAAACGATGCAGCATGAATACTGACACCAACTAGGAAAAGAGATCACATCTCTCCTGTACTAGCTTCTCTGCACTGGCTCCCTGTAAAATTTAGAATAGAATTTAAAATCCTCCTCCTCACCTACAAAGCTCTTCATGATCAGGCCCCTTCATATCGTAAAGCCGGAAGCTCTTTCCATTATATATATTGTCAACGGTGACAACTTCCTAAGCACTGCCCCTTTTTGCTCTGTGCTCCAATAATAGTTGAGCAAGCCTCAGCTAGAACCTCTGTCAACTTTCCTGTACTCAGATATGCTATGTGCTAGGCTAGTCTAATCACATTTTATATATATATATATATATATGACCAATAAGCTGATACACAGTACAGCAACAGTAATCCTGGTTGGATACAGGATGGGCTCAAACCATAACAGCATCCACCATGGAGAATATGATTAGAGGCCAAGATAAGGGCAACACCTAGAGAAGTTAGCCAGCTAGCAGAGCTACAGAAAGGCAACATGGTGAATAAAGGGAAACCCAGGAAATACACCAAGCTCTCCATACCTGAAGCACTCGAAACTGCCAAACAGAGACCAACAGCACTGGCCACCCGGTTGAAGAGATACACCAAGGAGGCAGAAGCCAGGAGAATAAACAAGCTGTTCTCAACTGAACCAGCCAAGGTGTACTCTCAGTGGCAGGAAGGAAATAACAACAGGTCAGACCCACCAAGAGCTGAGGTGGAAGAATACTGGAAGGCCATATGAGAAAAAGAGGCATCACACAACCCAGATGCCAAATGGCTAGTGGACCTAAGAGCAGACCACAGCAACCTCCCAGAACAAGAACCAGTAACCATCTCAATGGCAGACATCCAAGAAACAGTGTCAAAGATGAAGAGCTGGACAGCACCAGGCCCCGATATGATCCATGCCTACTGGCTGAAGAAGCTAACAGCACTCCATGAACGCCTAGCAGCACAGATGAACCAGCTGCTAAGGGATGGGTCCCACCCAGAGTGGCTAACCCAGGGCAGGACGGTCCAAATCCTGAAGGACCCTCAGAAGGGACCCATCCCATCCAACTACCGGACAATAACCTGTCTCTCCAAAACATGGAAGGCCCAGTCAGGCATCATCGCGGCTAAGATGAGTAAGCACTTAGCTCAATACATGAGCAGGGCTCAGAAGGGAATTGGTAGCAACACCAGAGGAGCCAAGCACCAGCTACTGGTCGATAGAGCAGTCGCCCAAGACTGTAAGAGCAGGAAGACCAACTTGTGCACCGCCTAGATCGACTACAAGAAAGCTTACGACTCAATTCCCCACACGTGGATACTGGAATGCCTGGAACTGTATAAGATCAACAGGAACCTAAGGGCCTTCATCCAGAACTCGATGGGAATGTGGAAGACAACCCTAGAAGCCGACTCAAAGCCAATTGCCCAAGTCAACATCAAATGCGGCATATACCAAGGAGATGCACTATCACCACTGCTGTTCTGCATAGGCCTGAACCCCCTCAGTCAGATCATCAGAAAGAGTGGTTACGGGTACCAATTCCGAAGTGGAGCAACGATTAGCCACCTGCTCTACTGGATGACATCAAGCTGTACGCCAGGAATGAGCGAGAAATCGACTCACTGATCCACACCACCAGGATCTACAGCAACGACATAGGGATGTCATTCGGATTGGACAAGTGCGGCCGGATGGTCTCAAAGAGAGGCAAGATGATCAGAACTGAAGGGGTTGAACTACCAGAGGGCAACATAGGTGATATCCAAGACAGCTACAAGTACCTTGGTATCCCACAGGCCAATGGAAACCATGAGGAAGCCACAAGGAAGTCAACCACAACCAAACACCTCCAGAGAGTAAGGCAGGTCCTGAAAAGTCAGCTGTATGTGGCCATACCAGCAGATGCCAACATCAGAAAGAAGGAACACCAAAAGGTTGAAAAGTACCAAGGGTTGAAAGAACAGCTGGAGCAGATGTGGAAGGTAAAGGCGAGCGTGATCCCCGTGGTAGTAGGAGCACTCGGGGCAGTGACCCCCAAACTGGGGGAGTGGCTCCAACATATCTCAGGAACAACATCAGAAGCCTCAGTCC